TGACTCTTCATGAATCCATTTGGGATTTTCTTGGCAAAGATACTGGAGAGGTTTGCCATTTCCTTTGCCAGCTCATTTTTACAGATGAGGAAACTGAGGCAAATAGGGCTAAGTGCTTGCCCGGAGTCACACAGCTAGCATGTATCTGAGGCCAGATTTGAACTCGTTAAGATGAGTCTTCCTTACTGCAGGTCCTGAGCTCTATCCACTTCACCACCTAGGTGCTGTTAAGTTTATCCTACCCATTCTTCAAGGCTCAGCTCAAATGCTAACTCCTCCATTAAGCCTTCCCTGATCCCCTCACAGGTACTTCTCTGCACTCTTAAATCTTGTACTTTTGTCCTGCTTCATCTAATTATTTGTGTATTTGTCTTATTATTTATCAGTTGTCTAACTAGAGTTTCAAAGGGCATGGTATGGTCAGAAGAGAATTGGATTTGGAGTTAGAAGATATGGGTTTGCATCCCAGCTCTGCCATTTACCAACGTGGCATTGGGCAAGTCACTTAACATCTTTAAGGCTATTTCTCTATTCATAAAATGAGTAAACTGGGCTAGATGATTCCTAAGATCTTTTCCAGCACTCATTTCTATTTTCTTCTTCATATTTTTTTTTTATCCCTGAAGCATGTAACCATCCCCTGCACACAGCAAGCCCTCAATGAATATTTGCTGAATTGAATTAACAGCCCAATCCCAGTTTAGTGCCACTGGGTTATGAGGCTATTAGCCAGACAGACTGTGAGACTGATGGTAGGCATTGTATAACCAGACAATCAGCTACCAGCTTTTGAATCATAGGATTTTAGAAGTGGCATCTAATAATGCTGCAATTATATAGCAGCTACCGTTTCCTCTCAATGGTCTGGTGAGGTATAGGCAGCATATTATTTTCCCCATTTTACAGATGATAAAACTAGATCAGAGGAGTTGTGATTTATTTGCCTAAGGGTCACAAACATGAGAAGTAGAGGTGTAGAGACTAGAACTCCCGGGGTCTTCTGACTCTGTCTATCTCTCTGGCCCTTCTGAAACCTCTTTGTTTTACAGCTATATAATAAGGCCTTGTTACAGGATCTGGTGGAAGGACGGGATTGGAGAAGATGCCTCTGGCCCCCACTCTTCCCTTTCTGGCTCTATTTTCTCTTGGTAAAATGGAAGACAGGCTTTTCCTCTAGCCCATGATCAGGAAGGTCCCTAGGCCAAACCATGACCATCTCACTCCCAGTTATTTTTTTTTTCTCCTTACTCCATGTTGTCTTTAAGCTCTTGTCATCATCCCTGCCTCCTTTTATCTCCTTATCTCCCAGTCCACACTGCTTGTTGTTCCATTTTTCCCCTTCTGACCTCCCCTCTCAACAGGCCAATATTTCAGAACTGATATCAGTTCTGAATTCGGGACTCTCAGCACTGACCACCTACTAAACTAACCAGATATCTACAAACACATTTTATTTTAATAACCTCTCCTCCCCCCTCATTCCTGTGAGGAAGAATAAATGACCTCCAGCCTCCTTAATCACCCTCTGTATGAATGTTGATTCACTCTGGGGAAATTGCCAGAGCTGCCTGTTGAGGCTGCCACTGATGGGACCAATGTAGGATCCTTAATCTGGAGTATACGGACTCCCAAGGGGTCCATGGATAGATTTAGGTGAGGAGGGGTGTGAACTTGGATGGGAAAAAAATACATCTTTGTTTTCACTAACCTGTTCACTAAAATTTAGCATTTCCTTCAATTATTCAAATATTTAAAACTTGATTCATAGGCTTCTCCAGACTGCTGAAGGGGTCTATGACACAAAATAGGTTTAGAACCCCCGATTTACAGGACCCTGGCTAGCCCGGTGCAAAACTCCCACTATGCTATTTGGTTGCTGACTGCACTGAACACTCGAAGCAATAAGACAAAAAAAGAGGAGCCAGCTTCCTCTTTTTCCTAAGCTATCTCTTGCTTTAAGAGCCAATTCTAGAAACGTGTACTAAATACCTACTCCGTTAAGACACCTTGCTTGGCACAAATTAATTTGAAATGACAGAGTACTCAACAGCTGTTTACTGGGGGTAACTTCTAGGCATATACTGGATTTGTTTTGGGTTTGAGGGAATGAGGCTGGAAGGTCACAGGAATTCAGGTGCATTTGAACATGGAGATGAAAATGAAAAGACCGTTATGTAGTGAAAAGACCCCCTGGCTTTGGAACCGGAGAATCTTAGGTTGCTTACTAATTAGCCGTGTGACCTTGGGCGATGTCGCTCGTCCTTAGTTCCCTAAATTTGAAAATGACCGAGATGACCCTTAAGATCGATTCTAACCCTGAAGTCTATGATTGGGTAAGGAAGAAAGGGGAGAGAGACAATAATGCAGTGGGGAACTCTGGATTTGGAATCTGAGGACCTAGGTTTGAATCCCAATTCGGTGTGACCTTGGCCTACTTCATTCATCTCTAGGGACCTCAGTTCCCTCATTCTGTAAAAGGGAACTGGCCAAGATGATTTCCTCAGACCCTTTCTAGCTCTAAAGTGGATGACTGGTAAGAGAGAGTATTGTGCAGGAAAGAGAACAGGACTAGCACTCCAATTCAGAAGCATTATTCCATGCCTCTCAAGTGCCAAGCACTGCACTAAGTGTGTGTGTGTGTGTATACACACAGATACATATATACACACGTGCGTATATAGGTACGTATGTATACATGTATATAGATATACATATACAGTCTATACATACACATGCACGTTTACTTATTTTTATGAGTGTATATCCGTTTGTGTGTCTATGTCCGCATAGACACACACATAAAAACGGGGTGTGGAACAGGTCCGTTGCAGTTCTCAAGTGGAGAGGGATGTTTGCACATCCAGGCGGGGTGGAGGGGGGGTAGACTGCAAGCTTTTGGAGGGTAGGGCCCCTGCTTTCTCCCGATTCTCTGGCCTGCAGACCTTCAGAGTGTGAGTCAGTTGCGGGGCTGCTCCGCTGGCATTTAGTAAGGACCTGTTGATTGAGTGGTCCCCGGGGGCTGCCTACCAGCCTGCGGCGGCTGCAGCAGCTGCAGCAGCAGCGGCAGCAGGAGCGAGCGCACGCGCGTGTGTGTGTGGAGGTGCATTGAGGGGTGCGGGGGGGCCCCCCTCATCTCTCCAGCCCCCCGCAGAAAGGGGGAGGGGTGCGAAGACCGCAGCGGCCGGGCACGTGGCTGGAGAAGCTGGGGGCCCCTCCTCCCCCTCTCCTGCTTTCTCCCCTTCCCCTCCCCGGGCTGGAGCGGAGGGCCATAAAAATGCAGATGGAGGATCGGTGTGAAATAACGGGCCCATATAAATCCCTCTGCCGCCCGCCTGCAAGATGGATTGGCCGCATTGAAATTCCTCCGCGAGGATAATTAAACTCGGGGCCTCATCCGGGCAAAATTACATCGCTGTAATGGCGTCGCTCGGGGTCCCGGGAAATGGCTCGGCGGGCTTTCAGCGGCGGGTTTTATCGCCGGCCGGGGTGTGCCTGGCTGCGGCTCGCCTCTCCTCCGGGACCGTAAAGCTGCTGCCGTGATTTATCCTCCCCTTCTCCCAAATCCGATTAAATGGAGGAGCTCGGGGCCGGGGCGCCGCGGGGCCCGCCAGGCAGCCGGGAGGGGGCGGCGGGAAGGACGGGGCCAAGGAGGGAGGACAAACGGCTCCTCGGAGGGAGGCGAATTTGCCTTTATTTACAGCCCAGGGTTTTTTTCCACTCTCTCCTCACCCTCCTCCTTTTTTTTTTTTGTCCTTTTCATGGGGGCCGAGTGTGTGTTTCCCATCTTTCCCCTTGCTTTCCTGGAAGCACGATGGTTTGGGTGCGGGGTGGGTGCTAACAAGTGGAGTCTGAGATGGAAAAAGGGAGCTTAGAACCCCCCATCCTTGGGGGGGGGAGAGAGGGAGGGTGGGAAGGCCTTCTTCAACCTTGAGCAGATAGAGTAGATAGGCAGACACAAGGGAGGAATAGGACGGCTTGGAGTGTGATAGGACAGGTCTAGAGCTGGTGCAGAGGTAAGGGGTACCCACCTAGGAGGGGATATCGCTAAGGGGAAGAAACACTGGCCCGTAGTGAAGCCGTAAATTGTGCAGGGGGTAACATGAGGGGCAGATAGCTTCCCACTGGGGTAGTACATGCTCAGGAAATGATATGGGAATCTAGAGCGAGAGTTGGCACGCTGCAAACAGGGGTGCTTGCCCTGGAGTAGAAATGGAGAAGGGAAGCAAAGATGCCACACCTTGTGGGAGTGGAGAAGTTCCCCAAAAGATGAGATTGTGGATAGTCTTTCGGAGATGCCACTCCACCCAATACCTGCCTAGATGAGATGGGAGTGGAACCCAGAGATGGCACACCTGGGGGTGGGGGAATAACTAAGATGATATGGGGGATGGCAGCGATTGCATGCCACGGGGCAGTATTTGTTGAGGAAATGAGAAAAAGGGGCAGGTAAAGAGGAGGGAGAACGGTAAGGGATTGAATAGCTGCTCCGAACTCTGTCAGGTGGTTAAGATGACCTCCCAAGTTCATTCCAACTCAGCCCCCTACTCTTTCGTTTGCTGGGTCACTGAACCAGCCCTTTCTCTAGTGGCTGCTACCAAGTAGGAAAGAGAATTCCTGACATTTTCACAGCTTAAGGTTGGCAAAACTTTACATACATTATAGCTCGCTTGATAATTAGCACATTACATTTACATACACCATCTCATTTGATAAAAGAGCAACCACCACCTTCCTTTCTTCCTCCCACTTAAAAGGAAAAACACGAAAAATGAGGCTGTCACTTAGAGCTTGGCATTTTGCAGCTTATTTGCCCATTTAATGGGTTTCCCCTTGGGCAACTCCTGGACAGTGATTCTAAAACACTTAAGCTTCCCTAAGCTGCATAAGTGTTAAGGATGTAGGGGTACTGGAATATTTAATGATACAGGAATATTTAATGGTACAGTTCTGGTAATATGCAGCACCCCAGTCTCGAAGGCTGTGTTTCAACTGTTTGACTCTGCGCATGTTCGGGAATGTGCCTGTCGTCTATATTCCCGTTGCGGTCTAGAGCAAACTGCAGACCACGTTTTGTATGCAACTCACAACTGCCTAGCGTCTACCCCAGGTCGCCTCTGGTTGTAGCTCCAGCCTTCGAACAGCAGATGGCGAGACGGACTGCCTGCCTCGATGTGGCTGGAGGGCGGCGCTGTAGCGTCTCTCCAACTCTTGAGATTTCGGTCGCTCTGTCCTTCCCGACGCCACTCGGTGGCAAAAGGCACGCGTGCGTCAGGCCGCACGCCTCTCTTCCCCCTCCCCCTCTCTGTCTCCTCTGCTCTGCCGGCAGGTAAGGCCCGGGGCCTGGCTCCCGCTAGGTTTCGCGTACATGCCCGCAAAGGATCCCACTTCGCGCCGCTGCTTCGCGGAGTCTTCCCTGGAACACCCCCGACCCCAGTCCTCGCATTATCCCTCACTCCCCAACCCTGGCGCCCCGAGACCTCCCCTTCCCGCGCGCCGGTGACCTCCAGCCGCGCGGGTGTGGCGCCATCTTGGGCTTCAAGCATGAATGGGGGGGGTAGGAAGGGAGAACGAGAAAGAGGGAGTGGGGGAGGGTGGGGTCCTCCATCCTTCCTTCCGCCTTCCTGGGTTTCGCTCGCCATAGGCCCCGGTGCGGGCCGCCTCCCTCGAGGCCTTCCTCCGGTGCCCAGGCCCGAGGCTGGGCGCACCACCCCCTCCCCGGCGCCGGCTGGGCCTCCCAGGCCCCCGTAGCCCGCTATGCAGATGTCACTTGGTCATGTCCTTTAGTCCCGGAAGCCGCCTCCCAGGCGCCCACGTGAGGGGCAGGCTTCCTCCTCCCCTGGCACTGCACCCCAGGGGCCCTCCCTGCAGCCTGACCCCTCCAGAGGCCCCCTCTTGTGCGAGGATCCTCCCTAACTGAGCCCCAGGGGAGCAGGTATAAGACAACCTGAGCCCCCCCAGCCAAACCTCGTGGGCAGGTCCTGTCAAGAAGTCAGAGGACTCCAAATTTGTCTTTTAGATATTCTAACCTCAAAACCAACCCCTGAGGTATCTCAAGTGATCCAGACTTTGTCCTTCTACACAGTTCCCTTTCCCCTCATGTACAGGCTGAAACTGAGAGTGATACAGAAGTGAAAAGTCAGGGAGGAAGCCAATTCATAGGATCTGAGGATTGGAGAGCTGCTAGCAACCTTTGAAGTTACTTAGTTAAAACCCTTCGTTTTGTATGAGGAACCTTGAGGCCACTGCTGAAGTGACAACTAAAGTCTCACAGGTAGTATCTTACATGAACCCCCAAGTCTTCTGATTTCAAGGCCAGGGCTCTTTACTGCTCTACCATCCGGTTTCTCTGTTAGAGGTAGGGCCAATGTAGCAGTTCACCAGGGCATCTTTCCCTCAGAGTTTTTCTAAAAGTTGTCTGAAAGTGGTGTCTCATACCCCCAACAGCGTTGTTTTCAGGGGTAAACAAAAGGTACAGCCAAGGTCATGCTGCAGCAGAACCTAAATGGAACTCCTCAAGGTCTTGTCTCCTTGTCCTGTAACTTTCTTTTTATTCACTCGTGTTCCCTGAGTGTTCTCAACTTCTAAGTGGTCTTGGTAAATAGAATCAAATCTCATAATTTGAAGGAAAGAAACTTAGCTTTAGCACTTTTACTCTCCCCCAAAGGGGAGCACTCAGTCCATGTTTGGTAGACCAGTAGAGATGACCGTTGCCTCACCTAGGGCCCATTGCCTTGAAGATACACTGTTATAATCCTTAATGTCAGGCTTTAAGCAGGGAGACCAGCCAGTGTGGACATGAGCAATGTGACTAAGCAAAACAGAGACCAAAGTAAGTTTCAAACCAAGGGAAATATGAGAGACAAGAATTGGGCAGGCATTGAAGCAGATTAATACTGAATAGTTAACATTATTATAAGGAGCAAACTGTTAGGTTATTAGTTATAACTTTTGTTCCCTAAAAGGGAACATGACTCTAATATCTTAAAACAGGGGTTCCTAACCTAGAATCTATGAAGTTTTTTTTTTAGTATTTTGATAACTTTCAATAATAATTGGTTTCCTTTCTAATCTGTGTATCTTATATTATGCATTTAAGACTATTCTGAGAAGGGATCCATAGTCTGCACCAGACTGCCAAAGGGGTCCCTAATATAAAAAAAGTTTTAGAACCCCTCCCTTAAAGTCAAAGTCCTGACATGTAAGTATTGTTGAAGTCTAATTTTTATCACTTAAGTAAATTCACTGTGAAACTCATACTTGCTGTGAAGTCTTTTAATAGATAACTACCTATTTACAACTTTGAGCACTGATCAATTAGAAAAGACATGTTAGTAGCTGTTTCCTCAAACTGGGAGGTGAAATCCCATAAGGAATTACTGATCATTTCAGTGCATTTATTATTTCTCCTGTAGCTTCTTGAAGTTATCTTTTTTTTTTTTTTTGGCTAGGTAATAGGGTTAAGTGACTTGCCCAGGGTCACACAGCTAGTAAGTGTTATGTGTCTGAGGCTGGATTTGAATTCAGGTCCTCCTGAATCCAGGGCTGGTGCTTTATCCACTGTGCCACCTAGCTGTTCCTCTTTAAGTTATCTTTGATTAAACTGAAGCATAAGGCAGGACAAAGTTGGACCTGAAAAAAACTTAGATATGAAGACTTTGTATTTAAGTGCTTGGAGCCACGATACTTCTTGCCCTCTTAGGTTATGAAAGTGATAACTATAGTGGCCTAAGTTTGCTTATTATGGTAATGTCAACTTTCCAGCACTAATCTGCCCTGGCCCCACTATGGGTCTCCTTTCATTTAAAAATTGAAGCATCGAGGTAGGCAAATGGTTCCAGGTTATGCAGTGACAAAACTGTATAAGGAGCCCATAGGTTCTCCATCTCTGTCAGTGACTTCCAAAGGTACATAAATGGCTTTTCTTAAAGGGAAAGCTCATCATAGATCCAGGCAGCATGGTATAGAACCTAGTTTCAAGTTTGAATCCTCCTCAGCTTATTTATCCCCTTTGATTCGTTTTCTTCACCTGTAAAATGAGTTTAGTGATACTATCTGCTTTGGAGTTGTAAGAATCAAATTGTGTGTGTGTGTGTTTCTAAAAGAACTAGATAAAGGGCATTCTGTGTAGTATCCTCAACTAAACTAACTTAAGAATACTAGAATCTGGGCTGGAGGGAAGTTTTGGAGATGGAATAGCAGTTATCAGACTAATAACGAGTACATTATCCTGAATCTTAAGACCCTGCTTTCCTCATATTGAAGTCAAGTCTTCAAAGGGCTGTGAGCCTTGGTTAGAGATGCTGTAAATTATAAGGACCAAATCTTGGTGTTTCTGAGGGGAATAGAGTCCTAGTTTCTTACTTTTTGTTGTTTCTTTTTGGGGGGGGTGAGGCAATTGGGGTTAAGTGACTTGTCCAGGGTCATACAGCTAGTAAGTGTTAAGTGTCTGAAACTGGATTTGAACTCAGGTCCTCCTGACTCCGAGGCCGGAGCTCTATCCACTGCGCCACCTAGCTGCCCCAGATTCCAAGTTTCTAATTAAACTTCTGTGTCTAATTTTAGTAAAGTTGGAATGGGATACTTCCTCTCTCTGATTCTCTTGCTTTCTCCTTTTTGAAATGAGTACTGCTGCTTCTGAAGCCCCACTTTTATTTCAGTTGAATTTTCTGAGTGCCCTTTCAGCTGTCATTGGTTTACTTTGTGTAATAAATGAGGAGTAATTCTGATTTCTAACACTGCTTTTATGCCCTCAGCTCTTCAACTTTGCCCCTCACCCCGAGAATGTACGCCTGCGCCAAGTTCATCTCTACTCCTGCCCTTGTGAGTAGCTGACAGTCAAATGGGGGGTGGGTGGGAAAAGGAACAAAACCTGTTCCATCCTTCCACTTACAGTTGTCTTTGTCATCAGACCTTGTTCCTCACAGCTAGGCTGTGGGGAGGGGTACTTTCACCTGGGGAAGTGACACCCTCTGGGACTCCCTTGCTATGGTAGTCTGATATGGAAGTGAATTCAGCAAGGTAAGTGAATGTTCACTTGAGTCCCAAATCTCTAGACCATTTCCATTCATGCAACTCCCTGGGGAAAGTGGGATATAGACCTGGGAATCTGGGTTTGGAACCTAACCACTCAGTGGCTGTTGTGTGTACTTTGTGTCCCTCTCCTTTTTTTGTGTGTGTGAGGCAATTGGGGTTAAGTGACTTGCCCAGAATCAACACAGCTAGTAAGTGTTATGTGTCTGAGGCCACATTTGAACTCGGGTCCTCCTGAGTCCAGAGCTGGTGCTCTATCCACTGCACCACCTAGCTGCCCCTGTGTCCCTCTTAAAGCCCTGCACTGATACCTTATGTGTGTAGAAGTGACAGTGAAGGTTGTGACCCTAGTTTCTCTAAAGCTATGCCAGCAAAGTACAGTCTGGCAAGTGTTACCAAGGTCGAAAGGAAAGGCATCCATGGCAGGCTCAGTAGCTGCCTGTGTCTGTTTAGCAAGGACCAACCTTGCTAAGTTCCTCGAGGCTCAGCACCAGGCTGGCTGCAGATAGAGGAATGTTTGCAGCTAAATTATCAGAGGGGTGTGAACTGTATCAGTGAAGTACCCACTGCAGTGAAATCACTAATATTTAAAATGTCCAGGGAATATTGTGTCACCCAAATTCAGTCAATAATGTGGATGAAGCTATAGCTGTGTACAGAACCCTGTCCTGTATGGGTGCTAGAATAACTAGAAGAAAGAAACACAGTTCTTTCCCCTTGGAGAACTTATGGTCTAGTTAGGGGCAGGCCATATATTATTATAAAGCAAAGAGGAAGCATAGCTTAGAAGATAGTGGTTTTAAGTCCTGCCTCTGACATATTGTATTTGTGACCCTAGACAAGTCATCTAACCTCAGGAATCTTTGTAGGACTCTTTCAAGTTGCAGAAAAATAGTGCCAACTGATTAATCCACATTTCCCGAGAGTCTACTCTATGCAAATCACTAATGACATTGTGCATAGTAAAAGAGTGTTGAGATTTGGGGTAGATTAATCTGTGAAGATTGCACAGGTGATCTCATTTCTTTTAAGGAGTGTTTTTAAAAGTAAGTCCGTTTTTGCCTTAATCCCGGGCTTCCTTCTTATGTGATGATGCAGCCTTGGTCCTTCCTGCCTGTGGAGTGAGTGGGAAAGGAATTTGAATGTGCCTCCTAGTTCCCACAAGCAGTGGGTTTGTAGGGAGTAGGGTCTTCTTGTAGCCTGGGGCCTGCTGATCTCCACCCCATGGATAGGGGAGGAGACATGTTTTAGTTATTATCTAAAACTTGAAATTGAGCTCTGGGAGAGATGAGTATGGTGGGAGGACTGGATGACAAGGAAGGGCAATCAACCTTTCTGTGGTAAGGCAGTGAGCCACCAGGAGCATTCTAGGCAATCTCCGTGACATTTTTGCTTCTTTTCTGCCAGGTGAGGAGCAGCTCTCAGGTGCTGAGTAGACCATTATCTGCAGTGGTACACAAACGGCCAGAGGTTCGGACAGATGAGGTAATTCGACAGTGAAGTTGAGCTTTGACCATGGGGGTCATCAGAGAGGAGAATGCTTACTTGCTTAGGCCAGCAGGGGGTGTCCTGACATCAACCCAGATGAGTGGGACTTTGGTATGGGGGGTTTTGGGGGAGCCAGTGGTTTTAAATGGAGATAGAAGAGGTAGTAAAACCTGCCCACTGTTTAGGTCAGGGCTTCTTAATTTTGGGTCCATGAACTTTTTTTTTTAAATTTTGATAACTATATCAATATAATTGGTTTCCTTTGTAATCTTGTGTATTTTATACATTTAAGAACATTTTGAGAGGGGGTGCATACTGGTAAAGGGATCTCTAACACAAAGAAAGGTTGTTTTAAACCCTTGTGACCCTAGACAAGTCATCTAACCTCAGGAATCTTTGTAGGACTCTCTTTTCGGTTGCAGAAAAATAGTGCCAACTGATTAATCCACATTTCCTGCTCTTGAACTTTAGTGACATTCTAAAAGACTGCCTGTGTGTGATACTGATACCTGCCTTGTCCCAGTCTAGACCTACAATTAGGAAATTCTAGCTCTTGGGTTTTTAGGAAGCAGCTTCTTCTAGGGCACCAAACTTGGTTCAGTTCCCTGATCTGTCTCAAGCTTCCAGACATCCTATTAATCTGGTATTTGACCATACATGAATGTATTCAGATTTCATCTTCTCAGCATCTTTTTCCACATATCAGAACTTTACAGTGCTGTGAAGGATGTTTTACAGTTTTGAGGAACAATCACTAGGACCTGGTAAGGCAGGCTACAGTGTGGTTCTGGTGCAGAAACTCATGATGTTTTTCAAGGTGCCTTCCCCTACAGCCTAATTCTTTCTCTCACAGAACCTCAGCATTTTGGCAGCATCAGGTCCCTTGACCTCACTTGTCCCCAGATGTGGATTCCAAACTAGCGCCATCTCAAGGGACGTTGACACAGCAGCCAAGTTCATCGGGGCTGGGGCTGCCACTGTGGGGGTGGCCGGCTCTGGAGCTGGGATTGGGACTGTGTTTGGAAGTCTCATCATTGGTTATGCCAGGTAAGGTAGGGATTGGAGAGTAAAGATCTCATTGGTTAAAATGGGGTTTCCAGGGTGTGAATTTAGCTGGCACTTTCTGAGGGGGTGGGGGGGACGACGGACACCTAAATCTTTAGATGAAATAGAAGCAAAGTTTGGTTTTATGGATGTGGGTCCTATTCCTTGGGACCACCTCTGGCTTTCTGTCTCCCCCAGTCTGTAGCTTCCATATCACCTTTCAGTGTTGCTGTCCCACAACTCAGGGAATACCTTATTGCCACTTCAGCCTGCCCCATTGCCACTGAGATTCTGAGACTGTCTGCTCCCCAAAGACTTTTGGTAACTCATTGTTAGAACTAAATTAACCCTCCAGAGACCAGTAAGTTCTCTTAATACCAGTGGGGATATAAGGTTATTTTCCTGGATTTTTCCAAAGGAGACCTAGTTGTCCTGGCATAGTTACAATACAAGAGTACAATATGGTGTTGATGTGCCAGTCAGAATCTCCCTGATGACCAGAACTGAACAAACTGGATTAATGGGTAGCATCATTGAAACTGGGAGTATATATTTCCTGGTTGCATTTCTATCTTCCCAACTATCTCTTCACCTTCAGATTAGAATGATCACCTTTTGTAGGGGGTATAAGATCCTTATGTTCTGGCCATATTTTAAATGAAAGAAGGTTGTCCTATTCACCGATCCTCTTAACTGCTTAGTCCATTCTGTTCTAGGGGGCTTCTTGTGGGACCTGGCTGCTGAATGCCTAAAGCCAGGAGCTACTCAGTGCTAAATAGAAACAGATGGTGGGGATAGTGGATTTTTTTTTTTTTAATTCCCCTTTGAGGTGGTAATATTTGGATAAACAATGCTAATGAATCATGGATTGGTTAGGATTCCCATTAAATCTCTGCAGAGCAGAGCAGCTTATTCTCTGAAGCTGATAACTGGGCTAAGATTCACCCACATGGCCAGACTTTGGTGTGATCTTTCTCATCCTAAAAGACAAATCAGTAGGTTGACCACTTTGGTATTTGAGATAAGTGCCAGACAGGTTTCCTTACCCTTCTCCTATTGATATCTTTATTATCCCTTTTGTGTCCAAGGAACCAGACTCACCCACCTTTCCTCCTCCCAGGAACCCCTCCCTGAAGCAGCAGCTCTTTTCCTACGCCATCCTGGGCTTTGCCCTGTCTGAGGCCATGGGGCTCTTTTGCCTGATGGTGGCCTTCCTCATCCTCTTCGCCATGTGATGGAGCCATTTCTATCCCCCAGTGTTTCTGAACGTTCCTCCTCGTCATCCTGGTCCTTCCATGTCTCTTCCAGCCTGTGTATACCTCCCCTTCCATCTTACCAGGCAGCCCTGGGGAAAGCCGTGGGTCAGGGTTTGACAGAGGGAAGACAAATAAATACTGTATTAATAAGCTGTTTCTTGGGTCTCTGTGTATGCTTCTTTTGCATTGTTAACTGAATAAACCTCATTGAGAGGCTTGGAGGATGGTAGTGGTGGAAAAGGGTGAGCCCCACTTCCAAAGTTCCTGGGCTTCTGCATCTCCTGGATTCATTTTCCTTTTTCTGTCTTGGGAAAATGAATCAGAATTTTAGAGATTATTCCTTTTATTTGTTAGTACAAGTTGTTAACTCACCTTGGATAGTTAGGCTAGTGACTTTATAATGCCAGCATAAGGTAACCTGCTGTTCCTCCTTCCAATTTCTGCTGTGTCAAGCTAATACAATAGACTTCTGGTTCCTTCCACTCAGATCTGTCTAATACACCACTGCCAGATAAATGCCCATAAAGCTCAGCCGAATTGTTACTCATCTTTGTTATCCCTTGAGAGCCACATGCCTATAGGAAAGACTTGATAAAGGTTTGTTGAATGCATCACCTAGCCTAACCCCATTTTACAAGTAAGAAAACTGAGGTCTAAGAATAGAAATAACATACCTAAAATTACAACTCATTGATGGCAAAAGAGGTCTAATGATCCTTTCTTTGGTATTTTTTACAATTTACCACATTGCAAGGCTTTTTCAAGATCTGACGATCTTTGGTTATTCTTTTATTTTCCTAGTTGAAGTGGGTAGGCAAGGGTAAGAACGAACAGGATTCTCTTAAATCATGAGGTGGGTTGGTAGGAGGGAAAAATAAAGGCCAAAACAGGAGAAATTAATTTTAAATTAGAGAAAGATAAAACATGAAGGAGGAGTAGCTTTTTAATCCAGTTTGATTCAACCAGCATTCACCTTTCATGTGCTAGGTACCGAATGGGGGTGGGGGTGGGGAACTCTGGGGAAGAAGATGTATACAGAGGGTGATCCAATCTTGGATCATTCACCATTGATATTCCTAGTGGAATTGGGGCTACAGGGTATATTGTCTTGAGGTAGAGAACACTTCCTTGTGAACTTAGGCCTAATGTTGGTATAGACGAGGGCTGCACAACATACTGCTTGTGACCTGCTAAAGGATTTCAGGCAGCTCTTAAAAAAATGTAGGGTTGCCACTGTACACTTTCCTGTTTGTCACATGACCTGAGGCAACCAACCATTGTCAGTCTGTCCAGTCTAACCTATGTGTGGCCTGAAGAAGTTTAGCCTATTTGAATTTTGGCCCCTACCCACTGCCAAATTGTGCTGGTCTGATATAGATGAGAGAACCCTAAATGTGATTTCTAGTAGAATAAGCCCTGGCCTTATTCCACCAACTACCTTTGAGCCATTGGTGTAAGAAAGACTTCACTGAATGAGGGAAAGCTCTCCCTCTGTACAAGGTACTGTCTGTAAATTCGAGGCCCTTTGAGAACCGCCCCCTTCCCTAGTTCTCTTTGCCCTACCCTGATGTCATCGTTGCTCTAACTAAAACATATCCTTGACTTCTCTAATTTTCTTGCCCTTTAATTCTTTTTTTTTATACACATTAATACTTTACCTGGCTGGGACAACACCTGATTCCTTAACACCGTGACTGCTTCAGTTAGTAACTTGAAGACTTTACTTTTCTCTAAGGTGGATGATGAGATGGTGTTGCAAGATGTAAATTCCTTCAGGAGGCTCCTGGACAACCCCAATCCTTTGGTACCTGTGCCCAAGAGATACATATTAGCAGTCCAAGTTTAAAGAGATTGAGATTGAAGGGGAAAGCTCTTCTAGCTGAGGAGCTAAGTCTAAGGTTAGCTATACGTGCCCCTAGGTTTTCCTGGGTCCCTCTTCAGCTTTGATCCACAGTGAAGTGTTGCTATACTTTTTGATTTGTCCTTGTGGCCTTAGAAAGGTGACCTGATTGGAAATCATGAGATAGAGGTTTAATCTCAGCTCTGCCACTGGCTTTGATAATTAGGCAGTCACTGGTTTCCATATCTATAAAATGGGAATAATCTTGCTCCAGGAACTGTCCAAGGATTAATGGGCCCTGAGTTCTAGTCTTAACTCTACCACAAACTGTATCTAGTGAGCAGGTAACTACCTCTCTGAGGTAGATTTTCTCCAGTGTTTTAATCTAAAAGTCACTATTTTGGGCCTTGATTCTCTCATTTGTAAAGTGAGACCCTAAAATGAGAGCTCAGTTCCCCTTCCTTTATTTTGTAATGTGTCATTTACAATAAGTCCTTTGTGCAGCTTTCACTTAGGAATCCAGATTTCATTTTATCCTTAAAACTGAGCAGTAGCTTCTTTTTTATCTTTGGAAAAAGAAAATTTTTTTTTTACTTTAAGAGAAGGAAAAGTTGACACTAGAAAGAGCACTGGTTCAAATTCTGGTGCAGCATTTATTGGGTGACTAATCTTTCTGGACCTCAGCTTCTGCAAATTTAGAATAAAGAGTTGGTCTAGGTCAGTGGTATCAAACTCAAATAGAAATATATCCCTGCAGGTCACATATCGACTTAGAGAACCACAAATAGACATTATCTATGTTGGACTGTATTTTTTATTTTGTTAAACATTTCCTAATCACATTTGAATCTGATTGTGGCCCACTCTGAAGTCTTGACATTGAGTCAGACACTTCTGGATTAGATGATTAAGTCCCATCTAGCTCTGTGTCATACAATATATAGTCTCTAAAGTCTCTTCTGATTCCAATAATTCTTTAATCTTCTAATTGTCTTCATATCAGTGGTCCAAGGACCTGAGAGTATTCCACAGAGAGCTTTTCCTAATTTCTGGGAAAACCAGACAGTGGTTGGGCATGGAGTGGTTTGGAACCCATGAAAGCTTTTCTGTTGAAATGATGTCTCATCTCCCGGTCTTTTCAGTAGGTGTTTATGTGCCAGGAAGAGTGTCATTAAGTTTCTGCCATCCTAATTAAAAGTAGGTGATAATTGAAAATGATCTATATGCTAAGCAGGAGGAATCCTTTCCAGTCCCCCTGCCTGGGTATGTGTCTATGAGTTTAAGGTCTTTTGGGATAAGGAGAAAGCATATAGATCATTTTCAACACTGAAGGTTTGGGCCGTAGTTGCTCCAAAAGACTCAGAGGCAGCACTACTTTCTGTTCTGTAAGAGAAGTGAGCATTTTAAGGCAAAAAGTTTGGAGACTTTCCTCCTAAATCCTGAGAATGGTTAAGTAATAAATCTAGGGAATTCTTCACTTAAGGAAAGAGTTTAAAGAATGAATTTTTTTCAAGGTCTTCCTCATTCCAAGGCCAATGCTCTATCCATTTCACCATAAATGTTAGACCTTAGAAAGAGCTGACATCACACCTTTTTTTCTGACAGCTTCACATGTAACCTGAGAGAGAGAGAGCGCGAGCGCAGGAGCAAAAAGGAAGGTGGGTCAGAAGGAAAGATAAGGATGGTTTTAGCTTTCCTTTAGGTAAATATTACTTAAAATTCATTAGTAAAGTAGATTCCACTTTCTCTATTTCCATTAACCATACTGCCATCTTTATAAGTTGTTAGCTTTTTGAGCTATTGCCAAGTTCATTTTGGTCCACTGCTAAGTTTTCTTTTTGCCTCTGTTGCTAGTTAGGAGAGAAGTTTAGGGCCTTCTCTCCTCTCCTAAACCTAGTAAACTTGGGAATCTTGCTCCTCCCTGAGTCGGCCCAGCTCTGCCTCCCATCATGGATATTTATAACCAGTAAGCACTGGAGCATTCCAGGAACTGTGGCTGCTTTCAGAGAAACCACTGCTGCAGACCCTGTTCAGGGGTAGGGGGGAGGAGCACATGTGTAGAACCCAAGGGCAGCCTCCTGACTCTTCTCCTTGCAGCCCCTCCATGCCCCCCACAGCTTTTCCATCAACATCTCCCAGCAGCTGAACAGTGACTGAATTTCCAAAACACTAGCTTAAAGGGTAACCATGAGCTCAGTGCTCCCTTAGCAACAGCAAAAACAGCCAGTGGGGATCCAATTTAAAGGAAGTCTACAATAGTGGAAGGTGGCCGAGCCTGACAGGGGAGACCAAAATGGGAGTCAAAGACTTCTCGTTACACTGATAGACTTGGTAACATGAAGCTGGTTCCCTTCCCATGCTTTAATTTCCTGCCTCTGTATAGAATGGAACAGAGAATCCTTGCCTCCCTGAGATGTTACCAGGGATAACTGGGATCAAGTCCAGAAAGCGCTCACAGGGCTTGACGTTCATACTTTCTGTCTTTGCTCCGTTCTTCACTTACCAGTTTACCAGTTGGCACTTAGTTCAGAAATTCTCTAGGGTTTCCCCTTCTCAACAATCAAGTATTTATTAAATACCTACTTTGTGCCAGACACTGAGAGTACAAATAGAAAAGTTCTTGAAGGAGAATACAGTCTGAGAAAATACATTTTCATAGTCATAAAGGATATATGGGGGATGGAGAGAAAGACAAAGGGGCTAAGCATCTACTAAATACCTACTATGTGCCAGGTGCTATGCTAAGCATTTACAAATATCTCATTTGATCCTCACATCACCCCTGAGAACTACTATCATCCCCATTTTACTCATGATGGAACAGGTATACAGTTCAAGTGACTTGCCTGGGGTTATCCAAGTGTCTGAGACTGGATTTGAACTCATATCTTCTAGACTCCAGGCCTAGCACTCTTCCTTCACCATATACACATGTGTATGCATGTGTTTACATACACACGTGTATGTATGTATGCTCACCAAAAAATGCCCAGGGATGGGGGAAGGGCACTAACAACCAGAAAGGTCTCCTATTAAAGGAGGTAGCATTTGAGCTAGACCTTGAAAAGAGCCAGGGCTCCCAAGAGGTACAGGCTTGGAAGGAGAGCATTCCAGGCACAGGACATAGTATGTATGAGGAACAACAGCCAGGCCAGTTTGGCAGGAGACCAGAGTGCATGAGAACTAATGGAAGATCAGCTTGGAAAGATAACCTGGAGCCAGATTGTGATGGGCCTTAAAATGCCAAACAGAGGAGTCTGTATTGTATCTCAAGAGCCATGGAGAGCCCCGGAAGCTTCTTAAGCAAGGACATGACATGGTCAGACCTGTGTTTTAGGACTAGCAATATGTCACCTGGGGGACTTTAGATTGAATAGAGTAGACATTGGAGACAGGGAGACCAATTTCAGAAGGTTATTATAGTAGTACAGAGAAGGAGTGATGAGACTGTGGACTAGAGTGACCTGGCGTTGACTAATTTAGTTAATTCTGCTCTGGAGTTCAGTTTAGAGAAACCTGAGCAATGATGAATGTTGAATGAAGTTAAAATGGGAGCAAAAGATGAGATGGAGCAGATTCAGGCCTGGACTCTCCTGATAGCTCCAGTCCTCCCTCTTCTGCCAGTGAGCCCCCTTCTTAGGCAAATCTTTCTCCTATTACTAAGATCTCATATCCTATCCCAATCCCAAAGGAGTTAGAGTGATTCCTAAACATGTTGACATCTTTGGGCTGGGGGAGGGTGAGAAATTCAGGTACTGGGGACTCCCCTGCCTAGGGGGCCAAAGAAAAAAAGTAGGCAGAGAAGGAATCGTTCTTTTTCAGCTGCAACTGGAGAAAGGGAACAAATCCTTCACCAGGGAAGATTGTGTAAACAGCGCCTTTGGCTGAAGCCACAGAGTTGAGGAAGCAAAGAAAGAGGGCTTTGTTCTCCCCCACCCCAGTCACAGCACAATCGCAGAGCAGGGATTGTTTGCTTTGGCAAGGGGTTCCTGCCTGAAAGGAGGAGGCATTCTGCAGCCTGTGAGGCCTCCCATTGGGTTTTCCTCGTGGGGTTGGGGAGGAGACAACTTTCATTCTAAGTATCCTGCCCAAGCAGAGTGGCTAGAGACCCCAAAGGTCTGAGGGTATTTGGCCTGTTTTCTACCTTTGTTAGCCTCCTTCCCTTCCCACAGGATGTCAGTCAGACTTGTTCTTCCTGCCTTCAGATGCTGTTGGGCTGGGGTTCCAGCCCAGAAATAGTTGCATTGTATTGAGGGTAGAGGAGGCCACAGAGGGTGGGGCATTCCAGCTCTTCTCTCGATCCTTCTAGTTTTCCCCTTACCTCTTCTGTCTCCTTTGCTGGGACTCATTTCTTACCTGGCCCTCTAAATGTTGGCATTCTCTCAGTTGCAGTTCTGAGCCCTTTTGTTTTCAAAGAAGGTTTTAGAATTGGAAGATATAGATAAGGAAATCAGAGTCTGGAGAGGTTGTAACTTGCCCAGAGTCGTTTGGGTGGTAGAGTGTTTGAACCCTTCTCACTTCCCTTTGGCCACTACAATCACACCCATAACTTCAACTAACACCTCTAAGTAAGTGGCTCCCAAAGAGACATCATATGATAGCAGATTTGGAGCTAGACTGTCCTCTAACTTTTTTTTTATTATTAATTAATTTATTTTTAGTTTTCAACAATCACTTCCGTAAGCTTTTGAGTTTTAAATTTTCTCCTTCCTCCCCGAAAACGGCATAGAATCTGATATAGGCTCTACATATACAATCCTATTAAACATTTTCACATTAGTCATGTTGCAAAGAAGAATTTGAACCAATAGATGTCCTCTAACTTTAAAGGTTATCTACCAGGCCCCTCATTTTACTGATTACAAAAACTGATATTGCAATAGAAAGAATGTTGGAATTAGAGTATTTGGGTTCATATTTCACCTTGACATTTACTACCTGTGTGACTTTAAGCAAATCACTTAACCTCTGCGGGTCTCAGTTTCCTTATCTGTAAAATGAGGATGTTGGATTGAAGGTGGTCTCTGATAATCATTCCAACCTTTGATCAATGCTCCTGTGGTTTATATGGCACTTAAGGTTGAAAATGTATACATACATATAAATATATACATATATATTATATTACATGCATGTATATTTTTTTTTTCAGTTGAGCTTCAAAAATCCTGTGGAGTCAATACAACAGGCATTATTCTGTCTTATAGATGAGGAAAATAAGTCTCAAAGAGTTTAACCGACATGCCTGTAATAACAAAGTTTTAAGTGTCAAAGCCAGGTCTTCCTGACTTCAGATCCAGCACTCTAATCTACCCATGGAAGCTGAAGCCCATACAAGTTAAAAGTGGCTTATCCAATAACAGCTGTGATTCAAACCAAAGCTAACACCTTTCACTGTGCTTTTGCCTGAACCTAGCTTATAAATTCTTGACCTACATTTTTAATTAAGTATCCAGATGTGTTGTCGAACCTCAAACTCAACATGCCAAGTAAATTTTCTTCCCCCTAAAACATGTTGTCTTTCTGATTTCCTTATTTCAATAGTGCCACCAATCTCCCTCATCAAGGCTTGAAGATCTCAATGTCTTTGAATGTTCCCTCTCCCTCACTTCCCATATTCAATCAAGTCCTGTTGATTCTAGCTCAAAAAATACCTGTTACATCTGTCCCCTCTTTTCCATTATCCCCAGTTCCTTACCTCTAGTACTTGCCCCTTCAAATTCATCCTACTTACCACTGTCAGATTCATCTTTTTAAAAGCACAGCTCTGAATGTCATTCCTCTGCTCAAGATCTTCAAATGGCACCCAGTTTGCCCCCCAAAAAAATACCACATTTCTCAGTAGGTCATTTAAAGCAGCTGTGAGTCAGTGCCTGGCACATAGAAGGTGCTTAATAAATGTTGACTGCATTGAATTGAGCCCCTCTTCACCTTTAAGGATACTGAGGCTTGAAAAATTTTGACCTTTTGAAGATCATATTCCAGATCAGAAAACCAGATTTTCTGATGCCAAATCTCATGTTTTACCCACTTCTCTAAGCTGTTTGTGTGGCATGTCACTGACCTTCCATCCCTTCCTTGGGCAGCATTTAGTCCACAGGGATCCAGGGATGTGGACTTTTAATAAAATACTTTCCAAGTAAGGAAACAAGCACTTACTAGGGGCCAGGCACCACGCTAAGGGCTTCACAAATCTTATCCCACTGCATCCTCACAACCCCGGAAGCTAGGCGCCATTTATCATCCCCATTTTATAGCTGAGGAAACTGAGGCCGAAGTTAAGTGCCTTGCCCTGGGTTACCCGTTTAGTAGGTATTTAAAGCTGAATTTGAACTCAGGTCTTCTGACTCCAGGCCCGTCGCAGTGATCCGGTGATTCAGAGGGGTGGGAAATGCACACAGGAGGAAAAGCCTCCTATCCCAAGTCTACCCTGAGACGCTGAGATACTTTGCTCATGACAGCTGTAGCTCACAGGGAGATAAATGTGCCTAGGCGCTTTACGGTCTTTTGGTAACTCAGGCTCAGGCTGCGATCCTCTCCAAACTCTCAACGTGCATTCCTTGTAACCACTAACTCTCCCTGAGTAGCTCGGAAATCTACAAACCCGCGGGCGCAGGCCCTTTTTTATAGAGTTCTTCCCAAGCAGCCCAGCACGTGCTAGGCGTCCGCGCTCCTCCCTACCCGAGGCCCCGCCCCTCCGGTGGCTCCCTGGGTCTGCCCCTGCAGATCCCGCCCTTCCCCCACCCTCTCCTTCGCCCTCCCAACCCTGGGGACATCTCGCGAGAGGTGAGCGCGCCAGGCCGAACGGGAGTAAAGTGTCTGCTCCGCTGAGGTGGGAGAAGAGCCCAGAGCGAGAACGCGGGCACTGAGCGCGGTAGGTGGCGGAGCTACCGGCAGGTGAGTTCCGGTAGTGCCCGCCGAACCGGAGCCTTGATAACAGTGTACCCCTGACCCCGAGCAAGTCCTGCTGCCCCAGGCTAGGATCTCCTAGTCAAGTCTGTAGTGGATGGGGGGGCGCTGAGGCGGTGGCCGGGCCTGTCTAAAGATTGGGTGGGACCACGGACAAGGACTAGCCAATGGGCACTAGGGTAGCGGGGATGGGCGGCGGCGTAGGCCAATGGGAAGCGGACTCTAGGCTGAGGCGGGATGCCCCCTTCCCTTCGGCCTCCCCTCCCTCCCCCGTCTTCCCTCTGTGGGGGGCGGGGCCAGGGGCCTGAAGTGCGGGCAGAAGTGGGGTGGTAAGTGGCCCCTTGGGACGCCGGCCGGGGTCCGAGGTAGAGGTAGTGACCCCCTAGAGAAGGGGAAGTCTAGTCAGTGGAGGGGTCATGGAATGCGGGTGGAGCCTTAAGTCAGAAAAGGGGAGGTGGCCCGAGATTGCGAAGAGTTGGAGATCTGGTGTTGGAGACCTCTCGGGAGTTTGGGGAGGCGGGGGGAGTCTCTGTGGGGTTAGGCGGAAGCGTTAGGCTGGCAAGACGGATGGAGAGAGTGAGAAGGTAGAGAGGATGGCTTTGGGACTGTTGGGGAGGGGGAGATTGTCCCGGAGCATCCAGTCTGGAAGGAAGTGTGGGAATGAGAGACTAGACTAAGTTTTTGAAGGGTGGAAGGGGAGACAAGGGTGTGGTTTGGGTAATCTGCGGGATGTATAATTTGGGTTAGGGAGTCAGAATTTGGGGAGAATAGGGGAAATGAAAGGTGGAGGGCATGGCGAAGCATTTGGTAGATGTCAAAGGTGGGAGGGCTGGAATATTGAACTAGGGCTTCTGGTTCTGATGGAGATTAGGACTGAGTAGGGCGAGAGGTGTGTGTATGTATGTGTAAGGGAGTGGATTTAACTGGGGAGAAGTTGGGGGATGGAGTAGAGTAAGGGATAAGCAGTGAATCAAAGGTGAATGCGGGGATAGGAATAAACTTCATTTGTTCTTCCTCACCCCACTCAGATCTTGAAGAGGAATGTGAACTGTCCTAGGTGGGGCTTCTTTTGAATGAATATATTGCTTTGAATTGTTTATGTTATCTTTGTGCCCCAAACTTTCCCCTAATCCTAGGCTGTCCCCTCACCCACCTACCCACCCATCCACTTCTAATCAGGCTCCTTTTCTCGGATTTTACTTAAAGAAGATTTTAGTGTCCCTGGTGTTATTGTCCGACAAGTGTAAATTTGTGAGTGTGCAGTGTTTTCTCAGCTATGACTTGACTGGCTTAAAAAAAAAAAGTACAGTAATATAATTATTGAGTGGGCATCAGATTTTATAAGCATTTTTCCAGTTAACACAAGAAAAGCCCCAAATGCATTTGTTTTATGAAATTTAAATTTTGTTCACTTATCCTCAAGGAGATGGCAAATGGGAAGATTTTTAGAGTTTAGAGATAGAAACTGGATCTTTGATTTTATTTATATAGGATACTCCTAGTTGAGAAAATTCCCACTACTCATGCTGGTGGTAACCTCTTCAAAAAAATTGCCTACAGAGCTGAAAGGTTAAGTAATTTGCCCTGAGTCACACCATTCAGTATTTGTCGAAGGTGAGACTAGAACCCTTGTTTTCTGGCTTCCCTATCAAACTATAACAGTGTTGTTGAACTCCAATATAAAGGAGGGCCACTAAACCATACATAAGGATCCCTACTGGCTGCATATTGACTTAGAAAACCACACGTTTATATATTTCTCTTTTTACTAATACATCAACACATTAAAGTCAGAAAGGGACTACATTTAATCTGGTTCTAGTGGCACTTTGGGTGATCTGGGCCACATGCTGCTGAGTGTTTTGATACTTCTGTACTATATACCATCATGCCTGTCTGAATCCTGTAAATGAATTATGTTGGGCTTGGGGAAAAGTTGGTAAATTCAAGCAGATAACAGATTTCACCAAAAATGAAAAAACTGAAAATTGAAAATTTCTTAACTATTTTAGCAAGGCTAAAAAATGACATAAAACCTTAATTAGCTGTGATCAAGATTAGTGGAAATCAAACATTTTGTTCTTAAACATGGAAGTTTTAAGCTAAATGGAGTTCGTTGCAAACTATAGTTTGGTTTAAAAAAAATGCTCGGCAGTAACTCTAATTTTACCAGTTCTTTTTTCTTTCTTTCTTTCTTTCTTTTTTTGGGGGGGGGGGTTAGGCACTTGAGGTTAAGTGACTTGCCCAGGGTCACACAGCTAGTAAGTGTCAAGTGTTTGGTCTGAGGCCGGATTTGCACTCAGGTCCTCCTGACCTCTGGGGTGGTGCTTTATCCACTATTCCACCTAGCGGCCCAACCAGTTTGTTCTTAATAGCAGTTTGAACCCAGAAAGATTATTGTAAAATTTTTCAGTATCTGCCTGCCTTTTAATAGTTCAGTGGAATAATGCAGCCAATTAGCTTAACAGTCACTTTGCTATTATAGCTCAGATTTTTCTTTTTTTCACTATGCCAATAAAGTATAGCTTTAGTAAAAACAACAGTAACAATTGTACTTTCCTCATAGACATATTTTAGTGTTCCAAATTTGATTTCAATAGCAGAGAGCTTCAACCCTTGTTGAAGCTTTTTTTCTCCTTCGAAGGAAACTGCCATGATAGTAAATTAAGATCACAGTTAATGGCTTAGTTTTCTAATTGTTTAATTGGTGTCCAGGAGATGCTAGACATTAAAACTACTTTACCACTTTGCCCAGCAGCAATACCACAAATATTCAGTGAACAAGAAAAATGTTCCTTATTTTATCCCCTCTTCTTGAATTATGGTGGCTTTGACTTGGGCTTAGTAAGGACAAGACAATTTACTTTTCAGCTTCTGGTGTTAATACCCATGGAAACTACTAGAGAGTGTAATATTGCTCATTTTTTCAACTTCTAGATCAAAGTTTATACCTCAAAATGATTTCTGTGTTGTAATTTTTAAGAACCTTTGTTCATCATGGTTTTTAGACTTTAATAGCTCATGCTACTGTATCTTGTTCTCTTCCTCACAGTATACACACCGAAAATTGTGGGGTTAAAAAAAAACTAGGTCTTAAGCTACAACTTTTCCTCAAGTGAAGTCCTTGGCTCTGTCTGTGCACAGCTGCTCTGAAATTCTCACAAGTTATTGTTCAATGCATGTCAAGACTAAATTTTTCCTTGGCTGCAGTGGGAGGGAGCCAGAGGTAGAGTAGCCTCCTATCCAACTCTGATAAGGAGGGGCCTTCTTGCAAGGAAGTTTTAGGTGGAGTGAAAAGAACAAAAATCCCAGCCACTTAACATTTTTACAAAAGATTCAGTACTCTTCATGAAATTGGAGGAACGTGGGTATGTAGGACAGATAGTTCTTGAATTTCTTAAAAGATAATAAAGCTAAAGTAAAAAGTTGATTTTATTGAAAAAATGCAGTTTTTTGGTTTTGGTATCTTTGGTACTTTGACTTTGGAGTCTGAGACACAGTCTTTTTTAAACATTTCAAGACAAATGATTTCTCAATTTTCTTTAACCAGTACCCATTTTTAAATTGTGCCTGCTTTTGTCAGGCTGATCAGTTTTTTATTTTGAGACATCGTAAATTCCAGTGACTGAAAGTGATGAACATTTTTCACTAAAACACATTACCCACAGCTTTTGATTGTAATTTTTCTAGCACATGCCTCTTTAGTTAAACAGTTTATGTTTCTATTTACATAGTACCCTAAAAGTCCTTGTCACTAGATCAGTTCTATTCTGGAAATTCTCTTAAGATTAAATAAAAGAATTCAGCAGTGAAATTTTTCCCCAAAAATGGGTGGAAAAAAATAACCATAATCCTAGACCTAGTAGAGACTTTAGATATTGTCTGGCCTAACCCTCTCATTTTACGAACTAGTAAACTGAGGTCCAGAAAGGTGAAACAGCACAAAAGAAAGTTAGCTTTTTTTGTTTAGGAAAGAGTGGAAGGACAAGCACTTACTCAGCATCTACTCCAAATATTTGATTTGATCCTCACAAAAACCTTTCAAATAACTGCTATTATTGTCTCCATTTTACAATTGAAGAAACTGAGGTTAAGTAACTTGCCTAGAGTCTTGAGTTCAGATTTGAACCAAGCTAAAGAAGACAGAGTTCTTCAGTTAAGGTAGGTCTCCTCTTCAGCCTGGTAATTATGGACCAAAGTCTTTTTACTGACAATAGATTTCATGAGAGTTAATTTTAGACTGTTAAATTTATATTTGAATATTATAGTAGATAATAGCAATTTTAAAGTGCCTTTTAAGTTTTATTTTTCTTAATGTTGCAAATTGTGAATGGAAGTATTTTAAGTACAATTTAATGTGGCATAGATGTAAGGGCAGAAGAAAGATGTACTTTCTTTTGATAAATTCTCATAAATCTGACATTGTTTAGATGAAGTTCTACGGAGAAAGCAGGAAGATGGATTAATGACCTCTCAAGGTCCTTTTCCAGGTCTGGGATTCATAGAGACTTTCTCAAATTAAGGTGCCTACAGAAGGAGAACCAGGAAGAGAAATAAACTATAAGGAAAATAAAATTGAAACAATTCCATTGACCCAGTGGGAATGAGAGAGCAAAAAATAAGCAACAAAAATGATGAGGAATAACTTCTCCTTTGAACTAAATGTCATGCTAAAAAATTTGAAGTTGTGAAATGACCCTGATGCAAAAAATAAAATTATATTTTATAATGAAATATATATGTATACATACATATATAGTGCTGTACTGTGTATTTCATTGTAAATATAATTTTATTTTTTGTGTCAGGGTCATTTTGCACGTTCAGATTTTTAGTGTGATATTCTCTCTCCCAGCATTTTCCCCATGACACTTTTGTGTTGAGAGAGTAGTTTTCTCTGTTAAAGCATCTTATTGAGTTTCTTTCCCTTCTCTTTTATTTGCCCTTTTGTTTAGAATTTTTTCTTTGCCTCTTTCCCTTAGTTCTGT